TACATAGGGCGAACACAACGGCAATTGGCAGCCAGAGCTAAGAAGCACTGGCTGAGTTGGCTATTAAAACAGGAGAAGAGAACTCCTCGTCCTTCCATTACTGAACACCTATCGGATACGGACCATTCTGTATACCCCAAAACATCCTTCCGAGTACTTGTTCGGGCGCGAACAACTTGTAGCTTGCGCTACCTGAAGGCAGCCTGTATACGACGGTCAAAACCCAACCTATGTAAACAGTTATCGCATGTTGTGAACCTAGCTTTGCCCTAGTAACATCCGGCTCCCTGATTCACACTTCACCCTGCCCACATTTCTGCTTCAAAGTTTTTCCCTACCTCACTGTCCATAGTATTTCACTTGCTTATGTTACTTATTAGACTTATTAACCCCATTTACTTATTGACATTCCTGACCTGTTTCTATGACCTCCTCTGTACAAATTCAGTCTTTGTGTATTTTCGCATTCTTTACTCACTTTATACAGCGAGATGACGCAGCTGATGAGCACTCGCGAAATTTATGGTTCCAATAAATTCAGTTGTATACACAATCTTCGAATTCGCAACTGGGAAAAATTGCTTTAATTTTTTCCTATCCCTCAATATCAGTAGGCTGTTCTCGTCAGTGTTTCTTATCATATTCATATCCACATATTATGCCATTTTTTCGAGAATGATGGAATAACAACATGCGCCACGAGAAATATGAAAAAACCCTGGCATTGCTTGACCGATAACTGATTCATTCAAACATTCCCGCCCTGTTTTATAATTTCATGGACTCTCACATTCTATTGTTAAACGATGCGTGATGGCATTTTGCCAGTTTTTTTCGTCTTTGAAGTAGCTTGTGTGTTCAGTGCTGGCCCTACAACGGGCCACGCGGAAAATATGTTGAACCAACACAGGCCTCAATCAGGACACTTCAGGCATTATTGTGTATGTGCACCCATAAAAAAGCCATACACGGGGGGTGGGGTTGATGACAGGCCTGGATGCATGCTCCCGCGGCGCCAACCCCCTGCACCGATCCTGCCCTCCGGCTTTCTTGATTTTGTCGGGACGCCGAGCCCCGAGGGAGATGGGGGTAGGGGGAGGTAGCTGCTGCGCGAATCGACTGTTACTGTAAACTATTTCACGCTCAAGTCACCGTCCCCAATCTACCTGGTTGTGGAGGCGGTCGGGGGTCGGTGAATATCACTGCAACCGTCCTGCTGCATTCACATACACATAGGACTGACATTTACGGATCTGGTCTGATTGTTGGAAGGAATAACACATTGCCATTTGGCGTTAGAGCTCTAAGGCAAAACCGACACAAACTGTCGTCTAGCGAGGAGTACTCAGCGCTCGGGGGTGGTACCAACAGAAAGGCAAGTGGGATCGGAATGGCTATTTTTAGCTTGTTCTCGGCTTCCATCCAGCCTTACCCGTATGGGAAAGTGCAAACAAAATTTATTTGAAAACCAATCCCACGGACCCGAGAATATTACGGCAAATATTTGGCTCATTGGTAGACTTATTCTTAGACCACGCGATTAGGTGAACCATAAATCGAATCTCAGGTCTCTTCCTTTGGGCTTGAAAATATTTGACTGACAATTAAACGCGAGTCAATAATGGTAATTCCAGTCTACCATGTTTTTACTGATTTTTTTTTCTTGTTGCTTATATAATTTGTTTTAAATGAATTGGCGAATTCAATCGGTGAATTTAAGAAATCAGGCCGCACAGAAGGCCACCAAGACCGCTGCAGCCCATGGCGATTGAGAGAAAAGCACTCACCAAATCAGACAAATAATTATACGAGATTATCGAATTCTAGTTGTGCTCACCAGAAACTTCCACAATGTCGCCAGGCACGAGATTGACGGCCTTGATCCTCTGAACACCTCGGCTACTTTTCCGAAAAACTTTGGCGATTTCAGGTTCGTATTCTTTCAAGGCTTCTATGGCGGATTCTGCATTTCTTTCCTAAAATACGACAAGATTGGTGAGCAAAACTTTCTGCTCTACAGAATGACCAAATCTCCCTGGGGACACTGAATTCCTCACTTCCATAGTAACTTGTTATTAACCAATCTTTAAGATATATTTTAACGCTGGTTAAGGTATTTTAAAATGCGGTTCAAATGCAGGGCGGGGAAGGGAACTGACCTGCCAGACACCGACTACAGCGTTGGCGATGAGAATTAGCAGAATGACGAAGGGTTCAACAAATGCCGTGATCGAATCATCATCCTCCTCGAACAGTGCCAGCACCTGAGGGAGAGAAAATTTGTGGTTTAACAATAAATCGAAGTATCCGGGTCATTTATCAGCGTTTTTTATCTTGCTTGTGTACACAAGAAGATCGATGATTATTTGCTAGCTGCCCAAACAGAGTCTGTATGAGCTAGCTTTGACTATGACCAAAAACTGTCTTTGAAATCAAACGGTAGTGGCGTCTTCCAGTGTGTATTAGCACACGAAGGGGAAGAAGAATTGTGCGATCATAATCGCTTGTACTGAATACAGCGGGTATTTTTACTGGTCTGTTCTAAATTGCAGTTGCTAACAGGCCAAACGCGAATCGTGATCCATCGCGCAGTGTGCAATTTTAATGACCGAGTAATGGCCGGCCAGCTCTGAGAACGGAAATAATGGCGCCATTAAGTGTGCTTCCGTGGTAAACCAACCAGCTGCGCGTGTGAAGATGGGAGAGAAACAATTGAACTGGGATTTAGTATGGATAGATAATAAACTGAAAGGCTCTCGGCAGTTTTCTCAACTCACAAAGCACTTCTCTGTGATAATGGCTCAAATATATGACTTCGGGAACTTTCAATTATTGGTCTCCCAACTTTCAAAAATGTGTACTGTGAGAAGAAAACCCATCTCTTATTCGTAAGCATCAGGATTTTTGTATATATTTTGACGAAATGATAAAAATGCAATGCTGCTAGGAGATGAATGGCGTAGAAAAGAGAAAATCTATGGGTATAAATGGTGCGTTGTTGATTCTGACCCTAGACAAATTAATATTTTAATTGAAACTATAATTATCTTTCGATACGAAGACATTTTCTTCTGAGGGATACCTGTGGTGACCAGGGTTTCATGCAGCATTTTACTCTTTTTCCTAGAATTGTTACTCTTTTTAATAAGGCTTTGAGTTCTGTTTTTGGGATCAAAATTATAAGTGTTACTTTATATGTTGCAGGTCATGCAACATTCGTCGATGGTGCGTAAGAAGCCCCTCAGACCCGCGGACAACTAAGAAATTCTATTTGAAGCCTATTGTGCTCTTGTTTTAAGGACGAGGTTTAAAATTCAATTTCAAATTTTGTCTTAAGTGTTGTAAACGAAAAGTTCGGCCGTAGGCTACAGTTGCAAACATGCAGTAACTTATTTAAGTAACTTACGAAAGATATCACAGCAGCCAGAAGCAGGATTTTCACGAGAAGATCATCGAACTGTTCGAAAATCAGTTCCCAGATGCTCTTTGCTGTAATTAAGAGTTATGCTTTTAAAGTAATTAGTGTTCAAAGTCGGCATGAAGAATTGTTACAGACATTATTTTAGCGCTATACGAGCTCGCATGCAAGTAATTGCAAAAATTACGGAGAACATACCAATGTCCATATGCCCTTTTTAGCCTCAGCATCATAATTTACACAGTTGCCACACATAAGCTGTTTCTAGAGCTTAGGTAGTCAAAATGACAGATGCGTATCGGCCGGCCTTTCTCTTGCTTAATGTAGTGTACTTTTTATTTTGACGTGAGTAATGAGTACCTCAAAATACGTCTTCGAGCACCTTTTGTGCTTTTACGATTTCTACAAGATAAAAAAGTTTTCATGACGGCCATGGCTAGCGCTTATTCCAGTGATACCCATTCCCTTTGGGTAGTTTCAGCAGAATGCATTGGTAGCAGGCAAGGTCATTTGCTGTACCTTACCGAATGCAGAGACCTTTCGATTTTGTTTATTGTCCTCTATATAGCTTTACTTCACGGGAATTCTTATTTGTGTGTTTCTCTGATGAAATTTAAACTAAGACCTGGATCCATGCAAAAGTTGGAAGTTGTGTCCAGGAGTCGTGGGTGTAGGAGCTCGGGTGCAAGCCTTGGGGTCGTACACGCACAAGCGGATCATATTTTTGTACGGTGCGATTCAGAAGTCTCTTTATATTGGGCAGGTTGAGTTCACGTGTTAATACGTACAATCGTTTGATATACTTATAACTTTATCTATGTTGAGATATTTATGGACAGAACTTGGCGACTTCATAATCGCTTGCAGAGTTTCTCTTTGATCTGTGCCATCATTATCCTTTACAAAATTTAACACATCTACTTGCATGCTTTCATCAGACACTCCTTGATCGTGGCTTAATTGATAAGTTTGCAGCTTTTTCAAACTGCTTTTTCCAGCAGTGAACTCTGCCCCAATCTGTTGGTACGGGATTGAAGCGTTTATACAATTTTGGCAGGTCCTGGCATGACTCTGGTGTGCTACCGCACGACTAACAATGGGGAGGCCCTTTCAATGTTTGATTCAAAAAATACCTGAAAGGTTTTATTATTGTTTTTGTAACGTTTGTGAATCGAGCTTTATGAAGTCATAGACGCTTATGCAGTTTCTCGTTGCTTCGTTTCATCACTCTCTTTTAAATAAGTGGTCACGTTTTCGTTCATAATTTCATCAGCGATTCTTCCTAATTATAGCTAGATGGATAGATTTTCAGTTTCTTCAATATGCTATTTCAAGCATTTAACTGTCTTTATAGCTGGTGCTGCTAATTGAAACGTTTTTGAAAACCTCGGCAGGCTTTGACACAACTCTGGTTCACTACCATATGACTAAAAACAAGCACTCTATTGGCAATCAAATGTTCACTTCTCACTCCGTCACATCGCAATACTGAAACCTCATTTACCGACAAATAAAAAGTACAATAAAAAATATTAAGCAAAAATAACTTCAATTGGGTAATTAACTTCAACATATCAAGTGAGTATACATAGGTGTGATTAGGTCAAACCAACCTGCCCTATATATGGAGATGAAGACTTATTAATCTAGGCCTCGTGTTACTTTCTTGTTCGTCTACAACTCTTAAACGTGATTTTCATAAGCCAAACTTATACGCATGCATCTTAACCTCGATTTGCGAGTTCGAGATTGAAAAATTATTTCTATAAGGGATAAGAATATCAAGTTGGTAGGCACGCGCGTCTGAGGGGATGCAATGACGTTGACGGCATATTTACCAAGTACAAATTCATGCAGAACAGCATCCAGCAATCATCTTACCTTCTTCGGCCGGCATTTCTATATGGAATGTAGAATAATGTCATTTATAGAGTGAACTCCACAGGCATGCAAAGTTAACTTAGCAAAAAAGAGCATCCCAAGTGTATCACTTCAGCGTCGAGTACATGAAATGTCTTCTGATTTAACCGAAACATGAAGCGGGAGTCAAGTAGGCCAGTCATCAAGAAGCCGGCCTCAGTCAGTTCAATTCATGTTATCATATTATCCTATATCATTGCAACGTACTGTAGCAGATAGGCGTACACCGATCAGTTACAGGACAAACTCGTCCCGCCCTGGTGTCTTTGGGGTTCACACTCAAGCCCCGCCGCTCATGATATTATATCAGTGATAATAATTAATTTGCATTTTTGCCATCGACGTTGGATACCATAAGGCATAGACCATATCTACGCAACTGAAAGCTTAAAAGTTTAATCTTCTTACTTTTCAAAAGCTGTTTTAGCCTGGTAAATTTGCAAAATAACTGATGCTGCTTACATGAGCTATGCGTGATACCAACTAAGCCCTGCATTGAGAAGAAGAAGGCTCGATTGCTGAGACAATACGTCGTTTCGACACCCGTCGCGGATTCATCAACAGAGATATGAGAAGGAACAGTAACGGCAGCCCTGCATCATGTGCCACAATTAAAACACTGTTCAGTTTATGTCTACAAAGTGATTCCGAGTGGAGCCAAATTGAGCCAAATGAAACAAATGCGTCATCCTGATTAATTTTCGAACTGGAAGGAAAACGGCCTCTAACACAGCGTTATCGGGTGATCTTTATCGATTTTTTTATTAAAGTTAAGAGAAAAAGCAAAAATCTACGAAATTTTACGAATTGAACTGTTTTTCCCGACATCTTTTGCGCTCCCCGTTCTTGCTTCTTTAATTTGGACTACGAATCTATACCCAGGTATCCTCATTTTAAATAAGGGCAAGTATTTGTTTTGAATAAGCAGCAGAGGAAGATGAATTCAAGAAAAGTTTCTGCACATAAAAGATCTCTGTCAGGTAGGACAAACATAGATGTTCAATAATAAGATAAAGTTATATTTGCGCGTAACCAGTCAGCTGAATCATACACGATAGTGTGTTTGAGTTCAATAAAATTATTTTTAAAAAATTGTCCCTTTTCAGACATTGAAAGTTGCTGCGTGACTTAAAGAAGGATCCGTATTTTACCTATTCCGCCTTCCTTTCAAATTAAACAGCACACAGATAATATGAATCAAATGTCAGCCATAACTTCGATCAGACGTAAGAGGCGAGCTGAACAGCTAATTTGAAAATTCCCATATGTTCTTGTTAACTAATAGGGATTTCCGAATGAACTAGAAATCATTTTAAGCTTTTGTTGTTACGACGAGAAAAATCTTCTTTCAGCGTCCTCAAGCTTACGATCGACGGCCTCCTGGTTTGACGGTCAAGTTTAATTTACTGACTACTAAACATGTGACAATAGGCATGAACGGAGCTATTTATTGACTTCAATTTTAATGAAATTAAAAAATGTAGTAGATAATGTAGAAGGTATATTACTGCAAAATGCAACTTTTACTGTTAACGTATTATCTAAAAGGTAACCCTATTGCAGGACACAAAGCTAGGAAGTAATGCTCCATACTTTTTTCAGAAGTATATAGATATGTTCTCTAACAGCTTAAGGTGTGGATAAACATGAAGGGGCAGTATCATCAAGTCAGAGTGTAGCACTCCGGATGACATCACAATTTCACCGTTTGCCAAGGCTACAGAATGCCCGTAATGCCGTTTCGTACAATTATAAAGTTGAAATACGATGTCTGTTAGCAAGTCTAGGACAGGGACTGTTTGGCTTCGGAATGCGAGATTCGCGACGTGCAGCAACTAGGAGAGCTTACCATTGAGACCGAACTTTTCCGTCTGCCGCTTGACCTGTTCATCGCTGAGACCGGTTTCCTCATCCACATTAAAGTAAGCCAGAACGTCCTCTACCTTTCGGCAGTGTGCGTTATCCATGCTGAAAACTGATTTCTGACTTCGAAATTGGGACTATCTCATATAAAACAGCGTTTGAGATTGGGGGTTTTCAGCGTTTGTGTGTCCACTGATGTCACTCTCAACCAGTTGCAAAGTTGCCCGGGCACGAACAGGACGACGACGTCCGATTATTCGACTCGGTTGAAAGTGAATGACAGTAGGTAGTCCTGCTGCTGCTGTAGCCGAAGCGTATTCTGGGAATAGCAGCCTACCGTCCTAGCGCCTTCCCCCTCTACCCCCTGCACACAGCCTGTCTCGTCTGCCCTCAGTCCATCCTCGCACTCCAGTCTCCCTT